GAATGCGTTTAACGGACAAGAAATGGCCCACCGTGGGGGAGTGAATGAATTGACAGGCTTGATTCACAGCATAAGACAACTCGGGTCTGGTGATTGTAAGATATTGAAGGGCCCCAACAATGCTGCGATAAAGAAAAGGTTGGGAGCATGGCAGAGAATCAGCGGCAGTGGTTGGTAGTTTGGAGAAAGCCCTTAGCAACAAGGCGAGCTTTGTGCCATGCAACGGTGCCATCCGAGTTGCGTTTGATTTTAAACACCCACTTGCAGCCAATAGATTGTTTAAAAGAGGGAAGAGGGACAAGAGACCAGGTACCCTGTTGCTGTAGGGCAGAGTATTCATCCATCATTGCTTGGAACCAAACAGGAGAAAAAAGAGCATGTTTATATGAAGTAGGCTCAGTGGAAGAATCGGCAGTAAGAGAAGGAGAAGAGAGGGAGGTAGAAAACATAAAGGCTTGCTTTTGGATCTGGTTTGCATGAGGTGAATGTTAGTAGAAGGAGGAGGTAGAGGTAAAACAACCTCAAAGGAACCAATTGGAATAGAAGGAGAAGAGGTAGGCTGAGTAAGAAGGGAAGGGAGGGCTGCAGAACTGGGCTGAGCAGGAGGCTGAAATGCAGCAGGCTGAGTAGGGTGAGGAGGAGCAAACTGCGGGACAGCAAGGCTAGCAACAGCAACAACAGCAGCAGGCCGGTGGGTAGACTGGGAGGCAACAGAGGAAAAATTTGGGGAAGGATGTCAGAAAAAATTTTGTAAGATGGACAAAGAATGAGGGGAAGTAGGCTGAGTGGAAGAAGCAGCAAAAGGGAAAACATGTTCTTGAAATCTGACACGTCTAGAAAGTAAAATAGAACCTGTTTTAGAATTGTGACATCGGTACCCTTTAACTGATGAATGATAGCCAAGAAAAATGCAAGGAGTAGATTTGGGAGCTAATTTATGAAAGGAGTACGGTTTTAACCAAGGGAAACAGAGGCAGCCAAAAACTTTGAGATGTGTGTAGTCAGGTTTGGCTTCAAAAAGAAGTTCAAAAGGAGAGCAGTTAGACAGAGAAGCACTGGGAAGTCTATTTGTAAGGTATATGGCAGTAGCTATGGCATCAAACCAGTAGGTAAGAGGTAAAGAAGAGTGATGAATCAGAGAGATAACTGTTTCAGTGATGTGCAAATGCTTCCTTTCTGCAACTCCATTTTGAGATGGAGTATGAGGACAAGAGTGTTGATGAAGTATGCCATGGAGACTCATAAAGTTCAACATGGAATTGTTGACAAATTCACCTCCACCATCAGTTCATAAAATTTGAAGAGGAAGACCAAATTATTTCTTAACAAAGGCCTTAAATCAATCGAGGGAAATATGGGTCGTATGTTTAGCTTCAATGGAAGCAATTGGATAACTTGGAAAACTAAAATGGAGGACCTATTATTTTGTAAAGATTTGTATGGACCCATTGAGGGTGATAGTGGCAAACCCGAGGGTATGAAAGATGATAAATGGAATAGGCTTAATCGAAAAGCCGTTGGTGTTATCCGTCAATGGATTCCTGACAGTGTGTTTCATCATGTTGCTGTTGAAACTTCGGCACATGATTTATGAAAAAAATTAAAGTCTTTATGACAGAAAATCAGCCACAAATAAAGCTTTTCTGTTTCGTAAGTTGGTTAATTTAAAATATAAAGATGGCAGCCCCATTCCAGAACATTTGAATGAAATAAAGAGTATTGTTAACCAACTTGCTTCTATGAAAATTATTTTTGATGATGAGTTGCCGGCTTTGATGCTACTTAGTTCTTTGCCCGAAAGTTGGGAGACTTTGGTTATGACAGTTAGTAACTCAACACCTGATGGAGTTGTCACAATGGGCCAAGTCACTAGTAGCCTGTTGAATGAAGAAACTAGAAGAAAATTAGCGAGTTTCTCTCATTCGGAAGCATTTGTTGTGAGAGGCCGAAGTAAAACAAGGGGGAGGAGTAAGACTCCTCATGGTCGTGATCAAAGCCATAACAAATCAAAAGATAGTTCTTTTTCAAAGAAAGACATTGAGTGCTATTATTGCCATGAGAAAGGGCACATGAAGCGAGAATGCCGAAAGCTCAAGAATAAGGGAGAAAGGCATGACAAAAGTATGGATAAGAAGCAAGAAGACACAATGACAGTTATTACCAATGATCTCATGGTCGTTTGTAAAGATGACTTTATCAATTTTGTGGGCCAAGAGAGCAATTGGGTGGTTGATTCCGGTGCTTCTTTTCATGTGACTTCTCAAGTTGATTTCTTCACTACCTACACCAAAAGAGATTATGGTTCTGTTCGAATAGGTAATGAAGGCTTGTCCAAGATTATCAGCATGGGTGATGTTTGCTTGGGAACAAATTTGGGCTGCAAGTTGTTGCTTAAAGATGTGAGGCATGTTCCCAACATTCGCCTCAATTTGATCTCTACTGGGAAGCTAGATGATGAAGGCTTCAATAATAAATTTGGTGATGGAATATGGAAGCTCACAAAGGATTCTTTGGTGGTGGCTAAGTGTAAGAAGACTCATACACTTTATTCGATGCAAGGAAAAATTTGTAAAGGTGTTGTTAATGCACTTGAAGATGATACTTCTACCGAATTGTGGCACAAGCGGCTTGGGCATATGAGTGAAAAGGGGCTGCAAGTTTTGTTCAAGAAAGAGCTTCTACCCGGTTTGAAAGGTACACATCTTAAAACTTGTGTTCATTATTTGACGGGTAAACAACATAGAGTTTCTTTTCAGAAAAATGTTGCTTCTAGAAAAGAAAATATTTTGGAGTTGATTCATTCAGATGTTTGTAGTCCTTTGAAAGTTAGAACACATAGTGGTGCACTTTATTTTGTTACTTTCATTGATGATTATTCAAGGAAAGTTTGGGCTTTTCTACTAAAAACTAAAGATCAAGTTCTAGAAGTATTTAAGCATTTTCAGGCCATGGTTGAAAGAGAAACATGGCAGAAATTGAAGTGCATCCGATCAGACAATGGTGGTGAATACATTGGGCCATTTGATGAGTATTGTCGCAGCTAAGGCATTCGGCACCAAAAGACAGTTAAGAAGGCTCCTTAACAAAATGGCGTTGCCGAGAGGATGAACCGCACCATTGTGGAAAGAACAAGGTGTTTGCTTTCACAAGTTAAATTGCCAAGATCCTTTTGGGGTGAGGCAATGAAGATAACGGTTGACGTGATCAATTTGTCTCCTTTCTATCCTTTGAATGGTAATGTTCCTGAAAGAGTTTGGACCGGCAAAGATGTGTCTTATGAGCACTTGAGAGTGTTTGGTTGCCGAGCTTTTGTTCATATTCTAAAGGATGAGAGGTCCAAGCTTGATAGTAAGTCAAGACAATGTATTTTTCTTGGCTATGGACGTGATGAATTCAGGTATAGATTGTGGGATCCGGTTGACAAGAAAGTCATTCGAAGCCGTGGTGTTGTGTTTCTTGAAGACCAAACAATTGAAGACTTTGGCAAACGTGATCAACCGGAGCCAAAAACTAATCATCTCATTGACATGGATCCGTTTCCTTCATCTTCAATTGATGATGAAAATGGGGGAGATATGCAGCCACCTATTGAAGAAGTGGAGGATGATGCTAATCCTAATGAAGTTGAACCAGAAATTGAGGAAAAGCATCTCACTCAAGAACCGCCACCACAACTTGAGTTGAGAAAATCTACAAGGGACCGACAACCTTCAAGAAAGTATCCTCCCAATGAATTTGTGTTGATTTCCAATCAAGGGGAGCCTAAGAGCTACCAAGAAGCAATTGAGCATGCAAAGAAAGGCGATTGGAAAAAGGCCATGGAAGAGGAGATGAACTCCTTACTTGAAAATTACACCTATGATTTAGTGAAGTTGCCTAAGGGGAAGAAAATTCTGAAAAATAAGTGGGTCTTCAAATTGAAGAATGATGGTAAGAATCTGAGGTACAAAGCATGTCTTGTTGTGAAAGGCTTTGGGCAAAAGAAAGGTATTGACTTTGATGAGATTTTTTCGCCAGTTGTGAAGATGTCTTCTATTCGGGTTGTACTTGGCATGACTAGGATTCGTTTTCAATAGAATCACATCCAAACCATAATCACTTTATTTTTTCTCTCACAAAAGTCAAAAAAGCCAAAAAGCCTATCCCAAAAGAGACTTTTTAGCCCCAGACTAAAAGAGACAAAAAAAACCAACCCACATCCCAAATGAAGCCATTGTCAACATCTAGCAATTGCTAGCTTTGACATCTTTATGAATTATTCTGAGTTTGAAATCTTGATGAAGACAAAAAAAAAACCCCAAGAGATACCGTTGGTAATGTGAAAGTGCTTATTCCAATCCAATAATGTGCCACGGGTTAGATTTGTGCAACATTTTGGCTTAGTTAATCCATGCTTTGCTCGTTGAATTTTTGAATATAACAAGAAATGAATTTCTAAATATAAAACCACTTCAATGTTGAGAGAACTAAAATAAAGAGTGGAGTTGTTAAGCTTGAGAGAGAAGAACCAAAAATAAAGAAGTCAGAAGATTTTGTTAGGCATGTATTCACACCATGATCCCCTTGTTGATGCATTATGTTTAGATTTAACAACCAAGAGCTTGCGTATGTTCTTATTGAAGAATTATTGATATTATATATTCTTGATTATTTCATTCAGTTCACTTACAACTATATATATATATATATCAGGTACAATGCTTAACAAACTAACTAACTAATCACCTCCAACTAACTCTGTTATAGTGTATGATCCCATGTGACACAGTACACCATAGACTAAACTATAACTCCATTGTGATCTGCTGGATTGTGATCTGTTGATGTTCCTTCTCTATCACTTATTACTAACAAAGACCATTCCTTGGACCTCTGTGACAAAACTTTCTAAATGATGGACTATTGGTCAATTTTCACTAATAAAAATGAAACCAAAACCAAAGTCGTTACGGTATTCACAACCTTGTGTTAAATACAATATCTGTTGGGATTAATAGATATGATTACCCATTGTTTATATTTAGATACACACATGTGAAACAACATTCATAGTCTACAAATAGCCAACACAAGACAAGGAAAAGCAACCAAACTAAGTAAAAGACATAGGTAAATCAGATTGTAGTAGCATAGAAAACAGGGCTTAACATTGTGTTCATAAGCCAAGATTTCTAAAGCTGGTTGCCAAGAAAGACAGCTTTGACATTATGTTCATTAGCTAAACAAACTCAAAGGTCTTGCTTGGATCATAACAATTACATATCAACAAGAATTGTCTTCTATCGGGCCTCTAACTGTGTTATGGTGACCATATTGGCTGAACATTGTTCAATCTCTCTTCTTTCTGTTTCAAGAAGATTTCTTTCAGTGAAAAAACCAGGATGTTTAGGCTGATGAGTCAGAGCACCTTCTCTGCCAAACATCCAAACCACACTTTCCATGCTAGGCCTATCCTCAGGCCGTTGTTGAACACACAATAAACCCACGTGAATTGAACGCAACACTTCAGTTAGATTGCATGAGTTCCGTAGTTGTACATCAATCAATTCTGTAGCCTTGCCTTCCTTGTATAATCTCCAGGCCTGAATAGTAGAACACACTTTCAAGCTGTCATTTGAATTATTCAAAAAGTAACATTAAAAGTATTGTACATAATTTTTATACAAAATCATGCGGTTGAATTGAGGCATTTTATTTTAAAATAAAATATCCTTCAAAGTGGCTCATAATTGGATTTAGAGATATTATTGCTACATCATTATAGATAAATTTTCTATATATAACCCTTTTTTGTAAGATCATGATTTTCCTTTTCAAAAGAAAAATTATTCAACTTTATACTTACATGCCCAAGAAGGTTGAGGTCGTGACTTGGGTGACAAAATCCCCTGTTTCTCTGCCCACTCACTACTTCTAATATCAAAACACCAAAGCTAAATATATCGGACTTTACTGAGAATAGCCCCTCAATTGCATATTCTGGAGACATGTACCCACTAAAGGAAAGCAATAAAAATTTAACAAATTTATATAGTTGAAAAAGGAAAACTTTTGAACTGGTTAGAAGATTCTTACTATGTTCCAACCACTCTTTTCGTATTTGCTACTGTCTCATTTCCTCCAAAAATTCTGGCTAAGCCAAAGTCTGATATTTTTGGATTCATCTCATGGTCTAGTAAAATATTGCTACCTTTCAAATCTCTATGGATAATTCTCACTCTGGAATCTTGATGAAGATAAAGAAGCCCCCGAGAAATTCCATTGATGATGTGGAAGCGTGTAGGCCAATCCAGTAGCATCTTTTGTGATTGATCTGTCCAATTTTTTGCCCAAGTTAAACCAAGCTGCTAGATGGTTTCTCGAGTATAAATGCAAAATGATTACAATAAATAAAAATATAATTTTGCATTGGAGGAAGTCTAAGAGGTCAATTAGTAAGACCTTCATCCTCGATTCATAAAATGGGAAGGTTCCCATTGAAGGGGGCATAAAAGACAAAAATGTCACTGGAGTAGGTGAGGAGTGAGTGGTGGAGGTAGGTTTGGTGGAGTGTAGTAGGTGATAGGAGTAGTAGGTGGAGGTAGGTTTGGTGGTAGGTGTAGTAGTAATTTACATTTACATTAACATAGCTAATGGTTTTAAGAAAGCCATACCGAAAATAAAGGAGTCCAAGTTCTTGTTGGGCATGTATTCATATATTAACAACCTTTCTTCTCCTTGAATGCAATATCCTAGAAGCTTTACAACATTCCGATGTTGAAGCTTGGCAATGCAGATGACTTCATTCTTGAACTCATCGGCTCCTTGTTTTGAATTCTTTGAAAGCAACTTCACAGCAATTTCTTGTCCCCCTTCTAGCCTACCCTGACAATTAAAAATCATTTTGTTTGTTAGGTACAATATGGTGCCATTAAAAGAAGCCACATCAATTTTTCTGTATTTTTCCTTTGTGTTTTTTCTTCTGCATAATGTTTATGTTTGATTCTACCCCATGCTTAGCATAAAGTCTATGTTGAAAGTCACTCTACATCTTCATTGGAGCTTGCTCAGATAATAAAACTACTAAATACATGTGCTTCTTAAAAATTTTAAAATGCAGAGTTATCAATTCTGCATGACATAATGGGAAGTTTCTAGCAAAATACTGAATCAGTCACTGAATTAGGCAGTCTACTGTCAACAGTTCATGTGGTTGGGCATCGGTTAGTTTTCAGAAAACTGGAAGTGTAGTTATATTTTTACCTTGTAAACAGGTCCAAATCCGCCCTCTCCAAGCTTATTGTTAATTGCAAAGTTATCTGTAGCTTTAGTGATTGTAGAAAAGTGAAATAACGGTAATCCTATATCTTCATTCTTGGCTTCTTTGTAGTAAGTTTCTCCAAGATGATGTCTTATTCGTCCTGCAGAAGGGGGCCGTTGAGAACATTTTAATGAAACAACTTGTTCAAAACAGGTAAATGTTCAAGCAAGCACACCTACAAACGTGAGATGCTGAAGCATCAATGACTTTTTATTACCTTCTCTCTTTGGCTGCCACTTTTTTTTTATTATCCACTTCACCCAAAACACACCCTCAATCTCCTCACTAGCTGCTGTATCTCCTGCAACGCCTGCGATACTCTCTGCAACACATTCGCTTACCAGTGCGGCGAATGCTACAACTTTAACATTGATGTCAAGTGTGCTTCGTTTCCACTCACAATCCAGCACGATGCGCATGAGCATGTCCTGGCTCTGGATAAAGACCCAGGACGTGCTCGTTGCAATGCGTGTCAAAAAGAATTTGGAGGGTATGCACTCCGATGCAGTAGCAGACACTGCAATTTCAGGGTAAGTCTATAGTACATTTTGTTTAAAAAATGTATGGTACATCGAAAATCAATGGCTCAGATTGAGCCACATCATTAAAAGTGACCTGGTAAGCAGGTCACTTTTTATAGTTATGAGCCAAAATCATATTTGTTCATAACTAGAATCAAATTAATCATAACTTAGTTATGAGCTCTCATCACTTATCTCATAACCATATCTCATAACCAGCACCATTTTGTTGATAACCAATATCACATATTTCATAACTACAATCACATATCTCATAACTACATCTCATAACCAATATCCTTTAGCTCATAATCACACCACTCTAATCATAACCACTATCACATATCTCATAACTATTAATCACATATCTCATAACTACTACTCATATAGCTCATAACCACATCTTATAACCAATCCCCATAGCTCATAACCACATCTTATAACCAATCCCCCTTTGACTCATAACCAACATTACATATCTCATAATCAACACCCTTTTGCTCATAACCACATCACTTTGATCATAACCAATATCACATATTTTATAACTAATAACCACATATCTCATAACCAAACACCCTTTTGACTCATAACTACATTACTTTGCTCATAACCAAAATCACATATCTCATAATCAACAATCATATATTTCATAACCATTACCCACATATCTCATAACCAACACTCTTTGGCTCACAACCACACCACTTTACTCATAACCACTAATCACATATCTCATAACCACATTTCATAACCAATACCTTTTGGCTCGTAACCATACCATTTTGATCATAACCACCATCACATATCTCATAACCACATCTTATAACAAACATCATTTTCACCCATAACCCCTAACTTTGATCATAACTAACTCAAAACCACTAACCACATATCTCTATTTTAGATTTATTTACTAAATACAATAAAAAGGGTAATATACAAACAATATACATTTTAAAAATATTTATATACACATAGACATACATATAAATAATTTGACTAAATTTTAATAAAAAATGTGTTGAAAAATTTTATCTACGATTCACTACAAGAAAAGTGGGCTTATGAGACGGAACTTTTTGCGACGGCACAACTTGCCGTCTCAAGCAAAAAATGTGACTTTTTGAGACGGCATAACTTGCTGTCGCCAAAAAATGTGACTTTTTGAGACGACACAACTTGTCGTCGCAAAAAATAGAGTATTTGTGACGGCAGAAATTGCCGTCGTAAAAAAAAAATAGAGTATTTGCGATGGGAGAGATTGTTGTCGCAAAAAAAAAATAGAGTTTTTGCAACGGTACCAGCTGCAGTCGCAAAAAAAAAAGAAGAGTTTTTTGTGATTGTAATACGTACCGTTGCAAAATAAAATAAAATATATATATATATATATATTGTGGCTTTGAGACAGCTTCATATATATATAGTCATAAAATGGTTTAAATAAATGCAACGGTATTTTTCTGTTACAAAAAAAAAATAAAAACGACGTCGTCTTACTCTTTTGAACATTTCTCTTTTCACCCATTTTTCATCTTTCTATCTCTCCTCTCTCTCTCTCTCGCACTCATCACTCTTCTTTGTCTCTCTATGTCTCTGTCTCTCCTCTCTTTCTCTCTCTCACCAATCACTCTTCTCTGTCTGTCTCTCTTTCTCTCTGTGTCTCTCGTCCATCTTTCTTCTTTTTATCTCTCTCATCTCTCTTCTCTTTATCTCTCTCGCTCATCTCTCTCTGTCTCTCTCTCGTTTATCTCTTTTCGCTCTTTTTTTTCTCTCTCTCTCTGTCTATATCTTTTCATTCATTTTTTCATCTCCATCTCTTTCTTCTCTTTCTCTCTCTCTCTCTTACTCATCACTCTTCTCTCTCTATTTGTCTCTCTCTCTGTGTGTGTCTCTCACTCATCTATCTCTTCTCTCATCTCTCTTCTCTTTATCTCTCTCGTCCATCTCTCTTCTCTCAACCTCTCTCATCTCTCATCTTTCTCTGTCTTTCTCGCTCATCTCTCTATCTTTCTCTCTGTCTCTCTATCTTTCTCATTGTCTCTCTCGTCTATCTCTCTTCTCTCTCTGTCTCTTTTCTGTCTCTCACTCTCTATCTCTATCTCTATCTCTTTCTCTTTCTCTTTTTCTCCCTCTCTCTTCTCCCACTATGTTTGCGTTGCTCACTCTCTCCCTCCCGTCTTCTCTATTTACTGAGCTCCCTCTCGATTTATCGATCCACTACAAGAAAATGCACTTTTAGCGACCACTTTGTCTCTCTCTCGCTCATCACTCTGTCTCTCTTTCTCTCTCTCTCTCTCTCTCTCTCTCTCCTTTATCTGTCTCTCATTCATCTCTCTCTCACCACCCATCTCCTCTACCACCTTCACCACTACTGCAAACGCCATTCCACCACCACCACTACTTCCACTGTCGCAACTTCACCTCTACGACTACCATGACTACTACCATTGCCACCACTCCACTACCACCACTACTACTACTACTATTACCTCTCATCCACCGCTGTCACTCCATCTCCCATACCACTACCACAACTTCATCACTAATCTCCTTCGCCATCACCACCACTACCTCTTATCCATCACTTTCACCACTACTGTCGCTCCCTTTCCTCTACTACAAAAAAATTGTTTGGTTATGATTTTTTAATAGAGTGTTGAATTGAGTTTTGAATTGTATGTGGAATTGAGTTTTGAAAGTTTGATGTGATGACTAATTTAAGCATATGGGTATGCACGTATGTATATAATAAGTATGTAAGAATTACTGTATAGAGAAAGACAGAAATTGTGTATATATTGATGTTATTGATAGATGTGTGCTTGTTGTGTATTACAAATGGTATGATGGGTTCCTTGTATAGATGTAGGTGTAGTGGAGTAGGTGGTGGTAAGAATTACTGTATAGAGAAAGACAGAAATTGTGTATATATTGATGTTATTGATAGATGTGTGCTTGTTGTGTATTACAAATGGTATGATGGGTTCCTTGTATAGATGTAGGTGTAGTGGAGTAGGTGGTGGTAGGTAAGGAGTAGGTGAGTGTGTGGTAGGTGACGGTAAGTGTGTGGTAGGTGATGGTAAATTATACAATGTACATTAACAGCCCCCCTCAAACTCAAGGAGGATAGGTACTAGCCAACTTGAGTTTGGAGAGAGTAACAAAAACCAAATAAAATTAAAAATGGGATAAGAGACACTGTATGGTCGTGTCGGACCGTTGTAGCAGACAGTTGATGGGGTCATGTCGGACCGTTGTAGCAGACACTGTGTGGTCGTGTCAGACCGATGTAGCAGATAGTTTATAGGGTCATGTCGGACCGGTGTAGCAGGACAGTTTACGGGGTCATGTCGGACCGTTGTAGCAGCCAGTTGACGGGGTCATGTCGGACCGTTGTAGCAGACACTGTGTGGTCGTGTCAGACCGATGTAGCAGATAGTTTATGGGGTCATGTCGGACCGGTGTAGCAGGACAGTTTACGGGGTCATGTCGGACCGTTGTAGCAGCCAGTTTACGAGGTCATGTCGGACCGATGTAGCAGGACAGTTTACGAGGTCATGCCGGACCGATGTAGCGACCGATGTAGCAGCTGACCGGAATCAATGTCGGGACAGTTTATGGGGTCATGTCGGACCGTTGTAGAAGCTTGTGGTGGTGCACCAAGGAGGCGACTAAGGGATTGCGCCCCCCTCAAACTCAAATAGGTGTGAAGATAGAAACCTATTTGAGGGTGAAAAGGGATTGATAAAGCTGACGGGTGTAGAAGACACTGTATGAGTGTGTATACAGGCTGCCCAAAAAATATACATGGATGTAGATATCGAGCCCTCAAAAGTCGTGCCCTCAAAAGGTGTGCCCAATTTGTCAAAAGGCGTGCCATCAAAAGGCGTGCCCGATGCATCAAAAGGCGTGCCAAATATGATGGCGAGGCACGTGAGTGCCTTGGCTGGCGTGCCCGTTTGTCTGGCGTCAAGAGGCGCGCGATGTGCGTGGCTGCCTCGGCTATTTAACCAAGACGGAGCCTGAGGCCGAGGCAGAGGCAAAAAACCTGCGAAATCCTTTGAAAAACGCTTCGTTGTGCTGAGAGAGATAGTCTGTAACACTCTGTTTTCTGAGAGAGATTTCTGAGAGAGATACTCTGTAACACTCTGTTGTCTCTGTTTTCTGAGAGAGATTTCTGAGAGAGATATTCTGTAACACTCTGTTTTCTGAGAGAGATTTCTGAGAGAGACACTCTGGAACACTCTGTTGTCCAGAAAATGGCTTCGTCTTCCCGTGATCTGCTCACTCTCTTTCTAGACCTTAACGAGTCAACAAGAGAGATAACTGGTGCGGGGGCCAGTGAACCTCAACCAAGCGCCCCAGGGTTTGCTCCGTTGAACTTTCCTATGCGGTCTGTGGAGCAAAAAATGGCAGTGCAAACTGACATTGAAGCCAATCAGCATACTTTGAAGTCATGTGTGGAAACCATGACTGCGGTTACAAATTTGTCGAACCGGCTGCAGAGTAGGACAAATGAGGTGCAGTAGTTAAACTCCCAGCTGGCTCTGCTCCAACGCATGTATAAGGATGCGCGAGCAGAGATAAGTGTGCTGAAGGCGGAAAATAAGGAGCTGAAGCAGAAGGCCACCGTGATGTTCCGATTTGGAGGGCCACCATATACTGCAGTGGAGGAGTATGGGGGAGTGAATTTTGATACAGTGGGAGCTATAAGATTGTTCATAGCAAAGTTTTTATTTTTTATTATCTTCCTCTTTTAGGTATGCAAATTTGGATATTGCTTTTATCTAGTTGCATTATTTTTGCATTTTGTGTGGGTAAAGGTGGTAACTAGTTTGATATCAGATATTAATGATGAAATCGTGTTTTCATGTGAGAGCGGCAATTACAGTTGTAGAGTTGGAGAAGACAAGCTAAGGGAGGCTGGATTTTGCTTTTGAAATGAAGAAATACTTCTGTTTATGAGCTTTCTTGCCGAATAGTGTAAATTTTTTGTTTGTACTCTCAATGAAGTAGTTATTTTTGTTTGTGAGATGAAAGCTGCAATTTTTATTTACTTATTTTGTGTATTTTATAATGAAACTATTTTGCCTTGTTATATTGTAATGAAACTACTATGGGATTGTAATGAATGCTTCATATTGTAATAAATATTGTGCTGAGTGGCTAAAATGATTTTGTTGTGTGTTGTGGTTTTTAATAAATGAAATGTGCTATGGTGATTGTGATTTTATTGTTTCTTGCTCATAGAAAATGTCGAAATACTGTCAAAATAGATCAAATAACATAGATCAAACAAAATAAAACAACACAAAACACAATGAACTTCCAATAGAGATCAAACACCACTTAAGTTTGAACAGTAGTAATGTCTTGGGGGAGATGGGTTTTGTTTCTTTTTTTTGAACTGAGTTTGTTGCTATGCTGTTTTCTGTAAGGTAATGTTGAATCTTCTCCAACTCCCCTGCTTTTCTTTCTATTTTTTTTCCTTTGGGCTGCACTGATGCATCTTCGTCACCTTGTGTTTTCTTTTCCTTTGTTGTATTTCTTTCTCTTTCTATTAATATATTTCCTCTTTACTGATCAAAAAAAAAAAAAAAAAAAAAAACAAAACAAAACAGAACAAAACAAAAGTTTAAATAGTAGTTACAATTTGTAATCCAAGTTAAAAAATACAACTGTGTATATTAGTGCTCTTCATTTATACAATCTTTGTGCAATGTTGGAGTTAATTAATGAACTATCCTATGGTGGTGGTTATGGCTTTATAATTTTTTGTTCACAGAAAATACCAAAATGTTGCCGAAATGCTACTAAAATGGTCAAACATATATCTAACAAAACAAAACAAAACAAACAATCCTCATTAACTTCAAATTAATAGAGATTAAACAGCATCACTTGAGTTCAAATAGTTGTCACAATGTGTAATGAAATTAAAAAAATACAACTGTTTGATGCCAATGCTCTTCACTTTTGTCACCTTTGTGCAATGTTGGAGCTTTAGCTTGTGCCATATCATTCATTGTCAACATTCTTGTGAAATTGTTGGCATACATTACTCCTCCCATCTGTAAGTCAACCCTCCAAGATGGATATGGAGATGGAGATGGATGATGATGATCCTAATAATAAATAAAATAAAATAAAAATGGTTACTTTTATTAAAGAATACACTCAACTAAGTTATGATTTACTAATAGAATTAAATTAGTGCATACCTTGAATGGATACATGCCAACCCCTTGTTTGAACATACTTGCTTGAAATGACAAATTTCTTCCTTGTAACGGATTTGGCTGACCAAAATATGGACTCATCCCAATTGTAAGAATTTATGTATTATTGATTGATGTGTGCTTATTGTGTATTACAAATGGTATGATGGGTTCCTTATATAGATGTAGGTGTAGTGGAGTAGGTGGTGGTAGGTAAGGAGTAGGTGAGTGTAGTAGGTGAGTGTGTGGTAGGTGACGGTAAGTGTGTGGTAGGTGATGGTAAATTATACAATGTACATTAACACCAATGATACTTGGATGACCAGTCATGTTTGGCCACATGCCCAATCCCCTATTATAGTCATAACATTCTTGTCTGATATGCCGTGACTGTTGCATTTCAGAATTCTACAACCTAAATTTTAATAACTCATTCTTCTCTATGGTTAAAGTCATATTTTAAAGTTACTACCAACTAGTTATGAAAAAAAAAAATATATCTTCACTAAGTTTGTTTTACTTGCATTTAAGTGAATATTTTCCTTTGTCACAAGTTCAACAACTCTTGCACCATGCATATTGCCATCGTTCTGCAGCTCCTGCACAAATGTAAAGTAATCAAAGTTAGCAATTATTGTGAGCAATAGTACAACAACTATAAGTAATCAATAAAATTCATTAACACCACGACGTTCTTCGGATTTCTCACAATTTGTTTGTGCACATTTTCCTCGCAAGTTATGCTACGCATTTTATTTTTTTCTTAACAACTTTTTTAACCATGGATTGCGTCTTTTAAATAGTGGGCACCCTTTTGAATAAGTTACCAAGCAATCAAGTATGTTTGTGCTCTCGTTTGAAATTCCAATGCCATCTCCACATGATGTAGAACCATTTTGAGTATGTACGAAAATTTGTTTATTGCTTATGCAATTCTCTTTATTCATACTTATGTGAAACTCACATATTCGTTCTCTGAACCTTTTAGACCAATCTTCAAACATTGTAGCCAACTCCACAACCTCGTAGAAGACATTGCACATTTTATCAAAGTAGTGTGCTTCAGGTTTGAAAGCTTCAAGTTTGAGAGCCTAGTTGTGATAACTGATTCGCACTTTTGTATGGCTCCTTTTAACATTTTTGGGCCATCTTTTCAAAATGTACTTATCTGGTATTCAATCAACCTTTCTATGAATGAACATCACAATTTGATGCCTACACAATATCCCCCTATATTCAAATAATTGACAATTATAATAAACCTTGTCGGTACCTTCATTAAAGTGTGAGAACTTAAATATTTTAATGAGAAAGTGGAAACCTCTTGACATGTTGTTTAAGCCTTTGAATCTAGTGCTTGTTGACAAAGTCTTGAAACAAATATGTAAGCAAACCCTCACAAAACCATACGGAGAAGTGGAAGGAATAAAGTTTCAATCCTATTCTATTCTAAAACAGTGTTTGTCTGTTAATGGTATTCACAGGCATATATAGCTAGCCCTGGACCCATGATCCAAGTGTGACTCCTCATAACTTTTTACCATCAGGGAAGTTGTAACTTTCATGTTAGCTACCCAATTTATTTGCTTATTAAAATATATATAATAATATAAATTAAAAAAATCATGTAACATATGGGCCACTTTATGGAAATATGCTTACATTCTTCCACTTGGCACATATGACACATTTTGTTGACTTTTGGGTAACCAACAAACTGGTTATGGCCATTAAATAAAAATACCCAAACTTTATGTAGAGACATAACTGTTAATTTTGTCAAATAAGTATTTCCTTCCATGTATTACATTGTATGATTGTCTCAACTTTATATAGTGTTATTTTTTGTGAATAACTTCTAATTAATTATTATAGGTCTCCCTATGGATCAATAGTCCTAATGGACTGCATAACATCACAAATACTTTAGGTGCACAAAATGATATTTTTCATTAATAATAATCAAAATGTCATGACAAAACAAAATAACAACTAGAAAAACTATTGAGCTAACCAATCAGTCCCATGTCCTCTAAGTGTTTTGAAAACACCTTTACATAAAAACCTTTGTCCATGGGATTTGCAATCATCATATTGGTACTAATATGCTTAATAATGACTTACTTGCTTCTTAACACAGCATGGAACAACAAGATACTTTATGTCAATATGCTTGCTTCAGCTACCATTTTTGTTGTTGTTAGAAAAGAAAACCACAACTAAATTATCACAGTAAACCCCTAATGGCCTAGAAATTGAATTCCCAATTCGAAACCCTGTGACAAAATTCCTTAACCAAATAGCCGGTGATGTTGCTTCAAAGCATGTTATAAACTCTAGTTCATTGTTGACAATGCAGTTATTGTCCCTTTGCGCTCTTCCATGAAATAGCACCTCCTATTAGTAGATAGACATATCCTAAAGTGAATTTTCTAAAAATCTTGACAACCTGCAAAATCCGAGTCTAAATATCCAACCATTTCAAAATAGTCAACATACTTGTAGGTAAGCATGTAGTCCTGGGTTCCTCTTAAGTACCTCCTGGGTTCCCTTTAAGTACCTCATGACTCTCGTTGCAGCCTTCCAATGTTCCATTCCTAGATTACTTTGGTATCTTCCAAGCATCCCAACTGCAAATGCAATGTCAGGTCGTGTACAAACCAAGGCACGCATTAAACTACTTATAGCAACTCATAGGGAATACTAACCATTTGTTCCTACTTCAAATCATTTTTGAGATATTGACTTAAACTGAATTTGTCACCCTTTAAAATTTGTGTTGCATTAGGAGTGCAATCACTCATCCTAAATTTTTCCAAAAGTCTTTCAATGTAGGCTTTATGAGACAATCCTAATGTTCTCTTGGACCAGTTTCTGTGAATCTCTATGCCAATGATATAAGATGCTTCACCCATATCCTTCATTTCAAAGTTTTGGGAAAGAAATTGTTTAGTGTCATGCAACAAACCCAAATTATTAGATGCAAGTAAAATGTCATCCACATATAGAACTAAGAAAACTTACTTACTCTTACTAACCTTAAGGTATATACGATTGTCCACAACATTCTCCGTAAAACCATATGAAGTAATAACATTGTGGATCTTTAAATATCATTGTCGAGAAGCATGTTTTAGTCCATATATAGATTTCTTAAGCTTGCAAACTAAGTGACTATCTTTATCAGGAAAAAAACCTTCAGGTTGCTTTATGTATACTTCTTCCTCAAGATCCCCATTTAAAAATGTCGTTTTCACATCCATTTGATGTAGTTCTAAATCAAAATGAGCTACTAATGTCATGATAATTCTAAATGAATCCTTCTTAGATACCAGAGAGAAGATATTATGATAATTGATGCCTTCTCTTTGACTAAACCCTTAGCTACAAGTCTGGCCTTATATTGTTCGATGTTGTCATTTAAGTCTCTCTTGGTCTTATATGCCCATTTACAGCTAACAACTTTAACTCCCTTAAACAACTCGACAATTTCCTAAACTTGATTCTTAGTCATAAATTCCAACTTTTTCTTCATGGCATCTATGGGAACTCTTGAACGGCGGGTCCGAGCGGGCCCGACAATTAGAATCTTTGGTCTGATTCCACAAGTGCAATGTGAAACAGAATGAGAATCCAAATTTGGCAAATCCATAGAAAATCCACTAATCACATGAAATGCCAAAAATGGACTACATCACCAGACTTAGAGTTTTTACCTAATATTTTAGGGAAATTAGGAAACCGATGATTCGTGCCAAAGGCCATTGTCCATCATAACCAAAGTGTCTCAGCTTAGGAACTTAGGTATGAGGGGGGAAGGTTATGAATTGAGCACCCTCGCTCGCCCGATCAAAGATCAGCCTCTACTAATTCTAGATATGAGATTCATTACCAATATATGCCCATGTTTTGATTATTAATGCTAAAATTATTATGTGAGGCAAACAAGTATAGACTAAATCGCTTATTTTGGAATGCATTGATTTCATACATTTAGAAAAGAGTTTGAAAAATGTAACTCAAAGTAAAGATGAGTCCACATGCATGGAAATCAATATCATCCCAATTTAAGCGAAATAACCTCTATCCGTCGGCATCCAAAGATGAATCCACATGCATGGAAATCATTATTCACACAACCATGACTGCATCTTCTCCCGTCGGAGATCACCTCTGACCATATTTTCCGACCACCGATAACCACTTATGACAATATTATTTTGGTAGTAATTTTTGACACTTTTTCTACCATTTTTTAAGAAAAATTAACATTCATCTCCACCACTTCATTCTCTCATAGCTCCTTAGATTTGGTGGTAACAAGAGAAATAGAAAAGAGCTAGAATTATTTAACAGTGATAAATTTATCACCGTATCAATATTTATCATACCAATTAATCACTTACTCTCTTTCACTATCATAATCACACTTACATACATATTACATCCCTCCCTTATTCAATCGAAGAAACACATTTACACACTTACATATAAAAAATAGTTTTCTTTGTGATAAATTTATCAATGTCACAAATTTCTCTAACCATTGGTTTACAAGCAATTGGCAGCCACAAGATTTTCTCAGAAACTATTTGAAAGCCCCTCTTTTTCATTTCAATTTCAGATCCTAGGTTTTACCAAAAAACCACAAACCACTATATTCTTTTGAAATAGCAAATAACTAAGGTAAAACTCATACAAGAGTGTGAAGAATCCCTAACTTGAAGCTAGAAGACAAAAGAAAGAATGAAGAGACTCTAACCACACGAAAACCCAACTTTGTTCGGACAAAAAAAAAGCTCTAGGTGAGCTCTACCGTTTTAACAAAAGCACAAGGGGACAAAGATCGACAGATCTAGATGGATTCACGTGAACTAGATGAGTTTTAGAGAGTAAGAAATATCAGTCTTCAGAAATGGTTAGAGAGAGAGAGAGAGAGAGAGAGAGAGAGAGAGAGAGAGAGAGAGATAAGAGAGAGCAAAAAGATATGGGAAATATTAGAGAGAGAATAGAAGTGAAGATGAGGGTAATATGAATAGTTAAGGAGTTATTAATGTATTTAAAAGGTCAATAGGACTTAATGATAATTAAGTTCACTTTATGAGATTGGCCTGTAAAAAACCTTATGAAGAATTCACATTATAAAGTGTAAATTTTGTAAATTTTTAAAAAGAGTAATATTATGGTAATCGTTATTGGATAACATGGAATTAATTATCATCCTATAGATAGATAAATACATATAGCTATTAATGATGGATATCGGTTCGATGGCCCACCTAACCCAATTCGATATTATTAGAATTTTGAAAAAATGTTTAGTTCATAGGTTTAGTAGAGACAGTTGCCCACACCACCATTCATTCCATTTGAAAACTTTTCTTTATTATCAAATAACCTTTCTCAAGGTAACTTTGACTTTTATAATACTTTTTTAAGTATGAGTCACTCTTGTTGTGCTATGCTAATTAAAAATAGTGTTGTTATTTAAATATTTTGTTTGAAAAATTTTACATCATCATTTGTATATTACATATTAACCATCATTAGTTTCCTCCAATATGTCAATTGATTGAAACAAGCATTTGCCTAAAAAAAA